AAACATCAGTTTTATGGTAATATAACCTTAATATCTAAGCTCCTGTTTGTCCTTAAAATGATCCAATCTCCTTAGACCCAGTTTTGATGGAGTAACAGATTAGAATTTGCATGAATCACCAAACAGATGTCCAAGAAGAGGTACCTCTTAGCTTTGGCTGCCCCACTACCTTAAGAAAGTTGTTGCTTATTTCCTTTTTATGGGTAAGTGAGAACCCAAACCACCCATGCCTGTGCAGCTTACCGTCTCCATTACTGGGTAATTAACTTTACTGGTTCACAGTCATCATCAACTTGACTGTACTGACCTAGGAAATTCTCACCTGGGAAGTCACTTTTATTATCTGTAAAATAAAGATGCTAAGGCTGGCATCACAGGGTTTTTGTAAAGATTGGAGTTCATTTTCATGCAGTATCAATGGCGGTGCCATGCCAGGTAGCTAAGAAACATGAGTTTTCTTCTGCTGTCATCTGAAATGCTAGGCAAAAAAAAAAATGGGCTTTGAGGTTAGACCTGAGTCAAAATTCTGTTGCTGGCCTTACCGGCTATATGATCTTGGGCATGTTAGATAATAAAAATAATAATAATTATAGGCTGGGCATGTTGGCTCATGCCTGTAATCCCAGCACTTTGGGAGGCTGATGCAGGTGGATCACGAGGTCGGAAGTTCAAGACCAGCCTGGCCAAGGTGGTGAAACCCTGTCTCTACTAAAAGTACAAACATTAGCCAGGCATGGCAGCGGGTGCCTGTAATCTCAGCTACTCAGGAGGCTGAGGCAGAAAATTGCTTGAACCTAGGAGGCAGAGTTTGCAGTGAGCTGAGATCGCACCACTGCACTCCAGCTTGGCGACAGAGCATGACTCCATATCAATAATCATAATCATAACGTAACGAACTTTTAGAAAGCATTTTCTGTGTGCTAGGCAGTGTTTAAAACGCATCACATGAAATAACTCATCTGTTCCATACAATAGTCTCTATCAGGTAAATCTGACTGGTAGCCCTGTTTTATACACAGAGAAATGGAGGTTAATAGAAGCAAAGGTGTGATTTGATCTCAGGAAGTCTCACCTTCAGAATTTGTGCTCTTAATCACTAGTCATTATTGCCTGTAAACCCCAACCCCGCAGTCAAATTCTAGCTCCCCGTAAAAGACCACCCCCTCAAAAAAAGCCTGCTAATTAGGCAAGACTGAGTTTATTGCTCACCCACGTAAGAGAGATTATTACTTTGATGGGCTCTTAATAATGTCTTGGGCTGGGTGCGGTGGCTCACACCTGTAATCCTAGCACTGTGGGAGGCCTACACAGGTAGATCACCTGAGGTCAGGAGTTCAAGACCAGCCTGGCCAACATGGCAAAAACCCGTCCTGTAATGAAACTATAAAAATTAGCTGGGCATGGTGGCACATGTCTGTAATCCCAGCTACTCGGGAGGCTGAGGCGGGAGAATCGCTTGAACCTGGGAGGCAGAGGTAGCACTGAGCCGAGATCTTTCCACTGCACTCCAGCCTGGGTGACAGGGACTCCATCTAAAAAAATTTAAAAATGACATCTTGCCTGGAACCAACCCAAATGCCCATCGACGATAGACTGGATAGGGAAAATGTGGCACATATACACCATGGAATATTATGCAGCCATCAAAAACGATGAGTTTGGGTCCTTTGTAGGGACATGGATGAACCTGGAAACCATCATTCTCAGCAAACTGACAGAAGAGCAGAAGATCAAACACCGCATGTTCTCACTCATAGGCGGGTGTTGAACAATGAGAACACATGGACACAGGGAGGGGAGCACTACACACTGGGGTCAGTTGTGGGGAAATAGGGGAGGGATGGTGGGGGGTGGGAAGCTGGGGAGAGATAGCAAGGGGAGAAATGTCAGATGTAGGTGATGGGGAAGAAGGCAGCAAATCACACTGCCATGTGTGTTCCTATGCAACAATTTTGCATGTTCTTCACATGTACCCCAAAACCTAAAATGCAATAAAATAAATAAATGGGGGAAAAAATGACATCTTGAAGTGGGGAGGGAAAGCTCAGGATATTGATGGGGTCTTGGGGTCTTGTCCAGGGTGGGTCTTTCCATGGGGGATGCGATTTGGATTGTAAGGATCCAAACCACAATTTGGATTTGGATCGTGGTATTTGGATAAGGATTATAATATAATGGTTAGAGTTGGTGGTTACAGCAAGGTGAAATGACCAAAGAGAGGGGTTCAAAGAGTGTGGAAGAGTAAATAGTGTTTCGACACAATCTACTGAAAAAGTTGAACAGTCTGATAATTACGCAAACAGCTTTTCTGGAGGCTTCTGGAATGAATAATAAGGCTATTTGCAACTGTGCTCTTCCTGGACAAGCATTTCCTAGCTTAGCAGAGTCAAGGTGCTGGCGACTGCAGAACCGTGAAGTCACGTTAGCGGAGTGGGTAAGGTATGCGCGACTTGGTAGTTTTGGTTCTCACTTATCCGTAACATCGAAATAATGATGTCACCCAGAAGCTGCTTGGGGAATTCAATGCTATGTCATCTTTCATGGGATAAGGCGTGGCACATAGTTTGTGTGTCATAAATGGAAGCTCTTTTCATCTCCTCTTCTTGACCTGTAACGTTTCCATGATCATTTTCAGAGTATGGGGGAAATTCTCTCAGCAAGCCCTGCATCTTCCCCTCCATCTACAGAAATAACGTGGTCTCTGATTGCATGGAGGATGAAAGCAACAAACTCTGGTGCCCGACCACGGAGAACATGGATAAGGATGGAAAGTGGAGTTTCTGTGCCGACACCAGTAATCTGGGGATGGGGAGTTGTGTGGGTGGGAGTGGATTCTTTTATTCATTTGCTCAACACACACCTGCTGAAGCCCTACTGTGAGCCAGGCACTGAGTTGGGCACTGAGGATCTGGTGATGAATCAGGCAGAGAGTTTTGGTCTCATGAATAACGTGAATGATGTGATGTGCCACTGGCTTTAAAATCCAAGAGGAAGATGCCAAGATGAAATATTCAAAATGTTAAACACCCAACCATGATTCAAATACAGAGTAAACACATGCCAAGGCTTTGAAAAAACGCTAGTGTGAGCCAGGCATGGTGTCTCACAGGTACTCGTGAGGCTGAAACAGGAGAATCACTTGAACCGTGAGGCAAAGGTTGCATTGATCTGAGATTCCAGAACTTTGGGAGGCTGAGGCAAGAGGATTGCTTGAGACCAGGAGTTCAAGACCAGCCTGGGCACATAGTGAGAACCTGTCTCAAAAAA